GTCGAGATCACCTTCGTGCTCACCCCGGTCGTCGTGTTACGCGCGCGGCCGCACGCGCCGCCGGCGCACCCGCGCGTCATCGGCGCCACCTCCATTGCCACCCCCTTGCTGGAAACCCCCCGCCCGTACGCCTACGCCAAGCACATCATGCGCGCCGTCCTGGCCAGGGTCCACACCTACGTCCTCGGCGGCACCCGCGTCGACCCCGCGCCCCTGCTCCAGTCCGTCGACCCGCTCCACTTCCACGGCCGCCTCATCGGACACGACCCCGCCACTCGCCTCCCCGTGTGGACACCGACCCCGTTCGACTTCTCTCAGGAGACTGTCGAGATGAAAAGAGAAGCACACACAAAGTCGTGCTACAACAAACGCAGATCAAACGCTATCCCGCTCGACAGGTCAGTCCCTGACGTCCGCACGGGGGAATGCCACCACCAGTGGTACTACCACGTCCCGCACATCCCTGCTTCGTCCACGTCTGCCACTTTCTCACGCGCCATGTCCACCTTGCATCTGTCCTCCGACATGCAACCCACATCCCCAACCCCGATCCGCCTGCCCACCACCTCGGTCATCTTCGTGTTCTACAACGAGCCACTTTCCCCTCTCCTCCGCGCCATTTATTCCGTCCTCAACCGCACCCCGCCCCATTTGCTGCACGAAATCATCCTCGTTGACGACGGCAGCGATGCCGAAGCCCCGTGGTTGGCCGAAGGCGCTCAATTTGAGCGCCATCTTCAGCTCCTCCCGAAGGCCCGACTCGCTCGTCTCACGGGTCGCAATGGGCTTATGCGCGCCCGCAATGTCGGCGCCAGCCTTGCCACCGCAGAGACGATCACATACTTGGATGCTCATATCGAAGTCGGCCCCGGCTGGCTCGAGCCACTCATGGGCCGCATTGCAGAAGGTATGCGGGACGGTATTAATCGCGTTGTCGTCCCTGGCATTGATAGCATTGACGCAGATACGTTCAATTACACGGCGGGAGGAATTGACATTTTGGGGCACACGTGGGGGCTCGGACAGACGGGAATTGAGCATTCCAGTCCACGAAATGGTGTAGAGCCCATCCGCTCGCCCATCATGGCTGGGGGGCTCTTGTCATTGTCGAGGAAGTACATGGATTTGCTCGGGTTTTATGATCCGGAGATGGAGCTCTGGGGCGGCGAAGAAATGGAGATCAGTTTTAGAATTTGGCTCTGCGGGGGTACTTTGGAATTCATGCCATGCTCGAGAGTCGGTCATGTGTTTCGGTCGAACAAGTATTGGCAGGGGCAAGTATACAAGGTGCCGGGTGAGGTTATTATGAAGAACAAGAATCGAGCAGCATTCTGGATGGATGAGTATGCGCCGCTCGCGCGACTGTCTGTCGGTAATGAGGGAGGTGTTGGGGACATGAAGCATTATGAGAATATCAAGGCAAGACTTCAATGCAAGCCGTTCCGGTGGTATTTGCAGAATGTGTATCCGCAGTTGCTCAAGTCGGCAGATATACTCATCAAGACCGGTGGTAGCAAGATGTCCGATCCCTTCCAAGCCTCTGGTTTCGTGCGGAACAATCACACGGGGACATGCTTAGACCATCTTCATTTGAAATCAGATGGGTCGGCGTTTGGAGCTTATCCATGTCACTACACCCATGGCAGTCAATCCATGGTGTACACTGATAGTCATATGATACTGTCTGGAGAGCAGTTGCTCGACGGATGCCTTACCCGGAGTGCAGATAATTTACTCCGGAAGTATCACTGCACGGATGATCTGGAAGCAGATCAGACATGGACCATGGAACGGAACGGGAATAATGACAGAGCCGTGACGATGGTGGGAGAAGGAAAGTGTCTTACAGTAGTGGCAGAACCGGAACAGGACAACAAGAGCGCATTTTCGCTGCGGTTGTTGGAATGTGGTGGTGAACTGGCGCCACTGCAGAGCTGGGAATGGGAATCACTTCGAGACAGTTGATAGGGATCACGAAGTACAGTAGTGTGCCGCACTGCTCGTCGGTCTTCTTGTACAGTTTTTTGGTAGACACTAAATACTTTTCGCCATATGGCCTAGGTGCCAGTCTATGTCAGTCTGCTGAGCTCGTTCAGAACAATTGGGCAGCAACTCGGCCAAGGCGTGAGCCATTGCCCTAGCTGTCCATTTCGTGGAATGTTGTACCCGAGTGAGGCTGGGCCGCTCCTCGTATCGTGCTCAACTCGAATTATCAGCAACCGAAGTACTGTAGTACTGTACTACTATGGATCTTCCAGGTTCACTCATGTTTGAGGTGGCATTGCGAGATAGATGGAGGACCTATCTACGAGCTGCAAACACAATGAACACAATGCTCCTTAGATGGCTCCTAGGATCTTTCTTCTTTCCCTGTTGCTCCTCTCCTCTCAGCACACTCTCTCGTACTGGCCTTATAGGTACTTTCTTTCCTACTCGGGTCTACGTCCTTTGCAAGTGTGCTAATTTCAATCGGTTGCGCTCGCTACTGTCTGCTTTTCCCAATCCTAAAGTGTACAGCTATTCAATGACCTTTTACACGTGCACTGTCGATTGCGATTGGTTGCAGTTGCAATTTCAATTGCATCAGCCTTTGCATGTAATTGTATTATCAATTAGAGTTACTGTTGGCTTCCGCTTGTGCCGACCTGATGTTGTACCATGATAGATGTGTAACGTGTTCTTATAACAGGCACGCCGTGCGACAGCACGAACCGCGACAACCCAGAACATTGTCTTGCATTCAACAACCACAGTGTACTGCATCAAAAGCGCGGGGTGATGAAAAGTTCTAATTTGTTTTCTAAAAGCTATCAGTGCTTTCTTCGTGCGCGTGCGTATTATGAATAGCGGATTTGTTCGGCGCCGTAGCCCAATAGGAGCGGGGTCTTCAGTCGAACATTCGTACAAATTAGTTTAAGAAGTGTCATGAACTCTGGTCGAAGCGCGAAAATGAAGTCTCTACTGTAACTTAAAGGACAGTCAGTGGCTGAGGACTCTTCTTCAAGGGGGAGAAGAATATGACGTTTTTACTTATTCTTTCCTATTAACGATGCAATTGTCCGATTCTGAACCAACAGATTTTTGGACAAATGACTTCGGCTGGAATTGAGTGCCGGGTGAGCTGTCCTCAAGGTTTAACGCCTAGTCGAGTTCGGAGCCAGGAAAGGCGCATAACAGACGGTGGTTGCTATCGTTTAGGGACAAGCATGATGCGCAGGGGCTACAGCACGGCACAAGACAGAGAGCAAAATACCTCCAGTTCGCGTTAAGAGGCGCAAGCAAGAAGCTGCCACCCACACAGTCATATGTGCTACTATAGCCGCTTGGATTCACGCAAGGGCCTTTAGAGGCCTGTGGCGGGTGATTTTGAACCACAGTTGTCCCCCTAGCAGAATGGCAAAGAGACCCGGTACCATGCGTCGTAGATTGCAGCGTTCGGATCCCCACTAGTGTGAACACCATCGGCAGTTGTCCAGAACGCGCTTCCGTACTGTGCCCGGAAGTCCAAGTACGCTTGCTCATTAGGGAAAGTTGATGTTTGTTCAACTGGAGGAACCCAGTTGCTGTAGTCGTACGTCGGATCTGTCATGAACCCGAACGGAGGATTGTATTGCGTGGTCGCAGTTACGCCATCCCCACTATTGAAAGCGTTCGGAATCCAAGCTCCACCTACCTCTCTCACAGCAAAGAGCAAACCTGTCGCGCCCGCACCAGAGTTCAACACTTGGAAGAATATATCCGTACAGATGCCGTCGTAGCGCCACGACCTTGAAGTCTCGAAGTCCAATGAGAACGGTCCGATTGCTTCGCCGCAAACATACGGCCTGGTTCTATCGTCAGCCAAAGCGATAATATCCACAGAGACAATCTTCTCGCATGTACTGAAGCACGAGCATCCGGTGCCAGCCACGCAAGGAATACTTCCATCACATGCGCCGCCCAAGGGAATCTCAGACGGTCCGGCTGAAGGCGCTGCAGTCGGTGTGCTTGCCACCGACGTAGAAGGTGCCGCTGAGGATGCACCTCCCACAGGTGTTGAAGGAGATGCCGTACTGCTGGTGGAACTGGAGGGCGTGGTCGACTGTGAGGGTACCGCCGACGGCGATGTAGATGGGGTTGGCGACGGCAGCGACGAAGTTGACGGAGATGCCAACGCTGATCCAGAGGTAGAGGGAGACGCAGTGGCAGGCGCAGAAGCGGAAGGTGCGGCGGATGAAGGAGATGCAGATGGAGGCGCCCCAGCGGGTGCAGAAGCGCCAGCTCTAAGGTCCACGCAGGTCACTTGATCTGCACGCTGGCATGAAACGGTTTGTCCGACAACAAGTGGAGCGCTGTCCACCCTTCGGTACACGTCACGAGAAGCAGTGCAATCTGAAACATCGCACATGTCGCTTCCAGAACCTACCCAGAGTGAAAGAACGTCGGCATGCACATCGCATTTTACGGGCTGTCAGTATCAACAATCGGGCAACCTTCCTCTGCATCATAACGATATCGATAAGAAAATGAATCACGTACAGTCGCAAACATATCCCGCGCTACAGGAGTACACTTCACATTGCAATGAATCGCCAGCGCCGCTCGCGTAACGGAGACATGCATTGCCAGCAGGCTCGAGAGCGCACTGACATTCCGTCGATGAAAAGACACATTGAGCTTGGCCCAAGCTCAGAAAAAGAGCTCCGTATAGTACCACGAGGAGATATCCACACGGCATGATGAATAGAGCGGTGACAGACCCGTCAGCTTGAGGTGAATGCCGCGTACGAATGTTGAAAGACGAATGATGCTCACACACACACACCTCTTTGCTACAAGCAGAAACGTGATGCTTACCAGACGAGAAGGGCAGCGAATATGCTCTAAAAGTGCTGGTAAAAGAGTGGTGTAAATAGCTGCCTGCTTGCTTTATATAGCGCGTGAGTACCCACTCCGTATTCAATTCCCAATTTATCTTCTCTTTCATGTCAAGGCATTCCGACTTTCGAAGAACCGTCTAATTCTTGCGCGGCTCATTACGATCGAGGCCTGTCTGATTAGCACAACATTCGTGTCGTGATAGTGACGACTAGCTAAACGTTATCCTCTGTGCTGGCATTTTGGAAGCGGATGCAACGCAAAATACGACAGGAACAGTCGCAGGCGTCAGACGTTCTGGAGAGATCATGAAAATTGGATTTGGGAGAAGGATGAGAAGCAATGATTAGATTGTTTCGAAAGGGTGAGCTGTTGTCATTGCGGTCCTTGGTGCGGCCCGTGGTGTGGTCTCATATGTACAGTAAAGCGGGAGTACTAAGGGCGTGTTGAAAAACATCCTATACGCGAAGAAATTGTTTGCTTGGTTGAAATTTCCCCGAATCTTCTAAATGGTCGTCTTGGAAGAGGTGGATGCCTCGATCCTGTCCACTTCGAGCAGCAGATCGCATGGCGAATCATGTCGGGCATTCTGGAGTTTTTCTTTGTTTGCAGTATATTATTGAGAAAAGCCTCTCAATTTCTTTGTCATGACATCGCAATTGTGCTGACATGGGACCAGAAAGAACTTTGTGAGAATTGCATGTTCTTCCTGGTCGTTTTTAGATATGTCTGGAAAAGAAGCTTTTTTAAACCAACTTAATCGCATGTAAAAGAACTTCGAAACCAAAACACCAGTTTAAAAAAGGTACTATGTACTCAATCTACATTACACTCTTAGTCTTTTTGCGCATTCGAAGCTGCTTTTTCGGCGTTCTGCGAGATGCTATTGCCGAAAACAAGTACGTTAAGGAAATAGTGTCTAAGGTAGCTTTTTAAATGTTCAATTTAATGTCTATATTTTTGCATAAAAAAGCTGTCCTCATATGAAGACAAGCTCCGGTCGTATAGACACTCTAGCTAGCTACTCCAGCGAATAATTTAAACAGTTTTCTCTAGACGACCAGCAATTTGCCGTTTTTTTATGCAAAAATATATTCATTAAATCAAAACTTCATAAAATCGGTTGGATACCATTTCTTTAACGTATATGCCCCCAGCAATAACATCCTGCAAAACATTGGGATAGCAGTTGTGAATGCACAGAAAGACTAAGAATCTAATGACGTTTCACTAATCGGTGGACCTTTTAAACAAGCATTCTAGTTTCGAAGATATCAACACATAACGCTTTGAAGTTGGTCAGAAAGGCTTCTTTTTTAGGCATTCTAAAAATGGCTGGAAAAGACTTGCCGATCTCACCTAACTCCGCCTTTCCACAACTTAGAAGTCCACTGCGGTGTCGAGAGCATCTTTTTCCTTCTTGGTGAGCAAGCAAAAGTCAAGAAAAATAAGTTGAAAGTAACCTCAAAGGAGGCCACTTGTCATCTAGACACTACCCTTCCACGGGGGGTAATTTGGAACAATCTTCAAAGTTTTAAGTACAAAGATACCTTCAGATCGTCCCACAAGAACGCAAAGACTGCCAAACGATGAGAGAGTGAACTAGAACTGAAAACATCGAACCATTGCTGTCAAATTGTAGTCCGAGAAAAAAGCTCAATGAATTTACTGTATGATGACCACATAGGTCCAAAATCTTCCAAAGTGGGTAATTTGGGAGGAAAGTCACCACACTCAGAGTTGGTGAGGTCCCTGTAGATCCAATAGAGCTGCAGCTGCCACTGCTTGTTGCCCCAGAGCGACGCCGCCACCGCCAGTTCTAGCCTTTTTAGCTGCCTTTCGTGCGTCTACAGCCTCCCTGCACCGCTTATGATACGCTTTATTCTCCTCTTGCCGGCGCTTCCTCGCCGCAGCTGCAGTCAATTTGATTTGCTTCTGCTCCTGCCCCCTTAAAGCTGCGAGAACCTTGGCTTCTGCATTGATTGATTTCAGTTCCGCTCTGTGCTCTCTTTCATGTAATTTGCGATGCTTCGCAACCTCGTCCGCCAGCGACTTTTCCTTCTTTTTCTAATAACCTCACTATGCGATAGGTATATGGCTGGTGTTCCGCAAGCCAGAGCAGCGTTACGATTAATTGCCCGGACGCGTCCATGACCCAAGCGCATTTCAATTTGGGGACCCTTAACGGACATGAGAATACTACTGACTGTAG